CAGCAGTGAAATGCAGCCAAGCCTCTGCTGTTTTTCCACATTCTGCTCGCATAATCTGGTGGGAGTGAATAATATTTTATGATGAAGAAGAGAAAGTGGAAAACTTTTCATCAATCTCATTAATCATCACAGCAAAAAGCCAGAAATAAGGCTTTCTGCCCAGAGCATTGCATTTTAAAATTCTGCTAGAATAAAGTTCTCCTAAGAAGAACCCCACCATTTTGTCCTTTCATCCTCACTTCCTCCTTTACATCACGTAAGGAAATCACTGCTTGAGAAGTGTGTTGTGTAACAACAGGCCCACAAGACAGGAATTTTTCTGAAATCTCCAACTACTGTAGAATTGTACAACAAATTAAATGCAGCTTAACTATAGAGTCTCACTATAAAAATTTAGAAAATACATAAAATGTTACTATATACTTGAGTTTAGATTAAACAAAACCCAGAGAATTTTCTTGAAGTATTGTATATATATGACTGTGAAATGTTGAGAAGTCTTCCCTCAGATAGACATATTGAAACCTTTAGGTGTCCTGAAATTATTGTGAGCAATGGGTGCTTCTGAAAGGCTACGGGAAGGGAAGTCCTTATTCTGTAAGGTAATATCCTTCTGGGTAGGTCACATCCTAACTAAAGAGTCTGACTAAAAGGTTAAGCATCTGTAATGACCATATTATTAAAAAAAATGCACTAAACTACTTCTATATCCACTGAGATTTGAAGTCCTTCTACAAACAAGAACTAGAATTTAAGGGTCATTTGGAAACCTAAATTCCAGAATAAACTTTTTTCCTGACACCTTTGACTGGAAAAAAGGAAAAAAGAAAAAAGAAAAAAAAAAGGCAAAAAAGAAACTTCAACTTTATTTTTGGCTATGGTTTTAGCTATTGCATTAAACTTTCCAACAGAGTAACTTTGAAATTAAGATGCCTCAGTTTTGAATTTGGATATAGTAAGATGGCACCTTCCCTGTGCAGAACACCTGGGCCCCTACTAGGTAAGAGTGCCCTACCTGCTGCTCCAAACAGAAGAAAGCTAAAAACCTATGAGAGCTATAGGAAGGAAGAAAATAATTACTTGATATCTGCAAAACCCACTTACTAGTGAAAAATGCTGAGAGCTTAGATTATCTGAATTGTCTCTAAAAAACACAAGATGCAGAAACAAATGCAAAAAATCAAAACAAAGCCCCAGCAAACCCATGCTTGGGTAAATGGTTGCTGCCCACCCAGAGTCTTCTCAATGCCAAACTGCATTGGATAGTATCATGTGGCCCAGAAAAAAACCCCAAATAAACCACTTTGGTCTCATTGTTTTCAGTGTAATTCAGAAGAGTGAAAGACGTGCAACTGTGAGATCAAATTCTGGATTGAAGGACAGAGATCATGCAGAGTTAATAAACTATTACATTTGGTTTTAAACCAAAGCTAAGCTAAGCTACTCAGGAGCTCTCAAACTAAAAGGTCTCTACCCATTTGATTGGCACTTTTCCCTCATAAGCAGCATGTTCATATGTACACTTAGCAAAGTCAGTAAATACAGAGTCAGTTTTATTCTGTGGGATTTTTTAAATTTGAGTAATTGGTTTCTCCTTTGAAAGAATGACCTGTATACACAACTGAGTGATTAAAATGTTCACTTTGGAAAACCAGAGAGCAAAGCACAGAGAGAGAAAAAAGTTGAATTTCATCTTTAAAAATGTGCTATTGACTCAGTGGGTCCAGCATTTCACAAAGCTATGTTTGAGCAGGTATATTTTTTAAAAACAAAATCAGCAGAAGATCTTTCAATCCTCATTCCTTCCCATTTTACTGGAAATTAGTGACAATAGAGCCTTTTGCAGTTATCACTCCTCATTCAGGAGGAAAATTACTTAAATCCATGTATTTGCTGCCTGCTTTGCTAACAGTGCTTTTACTTTCTCACCAAGCCAAAGCCAAGAACCAATCTAATCCACTTTCCTGCCAATACTGAATTGATCCTTATTGTACTTATACCCTAGCTAGGTTTATGTGACCAAAAATCACTGTTTCAGGTCTGTCTTTCAAAGACACTTGTACAGAACACTTCTGCCTGAGTGCTCACTGAGAAGTGGATCATCACGGCAACTTTCCACAGAGCGTCTTGCCCTTGCGCTTTTCTTTTACCTCCTCAAACAGGTCTTGGCTCACAGAAGACATCAAAGGCAGCATCACCTAAGAGTGACTGTATCTTTTTCAAAGAGAAGGAAAACATAGCTAATTTCACATTAGAGGGACTTATAGACATGTCCTTTATGGTCACAGAAACAAGGATCTAAAATTTGTCACAAGGAAAACAGAGTAAACAAAGTGGAATTAAAGACAGGGAAAAGGCTTCTTTCTTTCCTGCATAAACTTAAATAATTCTAACAACACATTTTTTAATCTGTGGCTTTAGGAACCAGCCTTGATTTTAAGGCATACTAAGATTTACATGTTTAATAAATGTCTGTAGGAACTAAAATTATATATACTTGAAAGCTGACCTAAAAGAATGCTCAACTGTGTCTAAATAAAATGTAGTGACCTTTACTGTCTTAAGCCCTTGACATCACTGGTAAATCCTACTGGAATGAGGTAGTCCAGGCTCCTCAGAAACACAATGCTTTTTTCAATAAAGGACACACAGACCTGCACTAGCTCCTCTCATTTCTGTATGGAGTGTTACAGCAACAGATAAGGTACGGAGCAATGAAGCACCTCTCCCCTAAGGAGCATAAAACTGAACGGGCACAGCATGTTCAATGCAAAACAATCTAGTTCAAATAGTGACATTTTCTTCTCCACAACACAAAGTGATTGTTTGCGTTCTTGAGAAAGGGGAGCCAAGTCAATATCTGCAAAATGCATCGTCAACTTTTATACAGATTGAATTATTGCCACTGTGCTGTGCAAGAGAGGTCACTAAGTCAGCTCTATAATGAATAAAATAAGCTACAGATGAGTAGGGTGGAAGTGTCTCCCTCCCAAAGCAACCTGGGCATCCATACCATTGGAAATTTCCTGAGACCTAGAATAAATAATCTCTTTCTTAGGCTGTGGGTATTAAAAAGCATTGAGACACTGAATTTGGTAGCATTTCTACAGGTCTATGTTTGACAAGACTGAAACAGGTATTACTTACACACTGCAAATTAAAACTTTCACTTGCTTCACTATTCCAGGTAAGATGGAGAACAACTGTGCTACAGACTGCACAAGAATTGTTAAAACTATACATTCTCAGGAAGCAGACTTCAAACACAGAAATGTTAACTCACCAGCCCAACACCACACAGAAACTCTAGGGCAGGATGTACTCTGTTTGAAAGCTTGCTGCCTGACCACGACAGCACTTGGGAAATCACAACTCTGTTTCAGTGCATTCATCTAAGAAACAACCGTGGACAAATCTGACCATGCATTGACTCTTTTAATCAAAATACTTGAAGTGTATCAAAATCATAACATTCTGAATTTGATGGGAATTCAGAACAAATAAGAACATACTGTCTTGTGACTATAAACTGGAATATACTGGACCTCAGCTATGAAAAAAATTGGAAGATATTGAAATTTAAAGAGAAGATTCTGACAGAACACGAATATGTTAATTTTTAGCCTATAGACATAACATCTACATAAATTATGAGTACGTTAACTCTTTTAAATTAAAGAATAAGTGGAAGAGAAAAATATTAGCAACATTTCCCATCTGAATACACCTAAGCAGAACAAACTTCTTTTTCTGAAGGAAAATCACAATAGCACAACCTCCAGTGTTGATGGAAAGAAAAGAGTCTCTGCTTCCTCCCCAGAGGCTCTTGACAAAAGATTTTATAGAAGAAAAAGATGAGACCACATTCCAAAACCACAGGGTCCAAACCCTCGCAAATAAGACTCATAATTGATCATCTCAGTGAGAAAGAACAAGAGGACTGGGAAAAAAGCCATACTTTAATTTCTACATGAAGGAGAACAAAAAAATTTCTCCAATTAAGAAAATATCAACGCCTCAAGCTACCGTATCTTTGATCTCATTCTTTGCCAGAGAAAGGAAATTTCGTCTCTTCAAAGCTTCAACCAAGTAGAACCAAGTTAATAAGGAGCAAGAAAACTTAAATAAGAGCCCTTTAGAGAGACCAAGGACAAACTGACAGGTATAATATTTTAATTGATTGCTTACATCAGAGGAATTAAAATAATAATATTTATCTGTTGCAACAACAGTAGTCACATATATTCACTTAAGAAGTGAGTGGAATAAAAATATGCAAAATTATAGGAGCTCCATCTTTCTCATTTCTAATTTACCTTTTAGATTTGAAGAGCCTATTTTTTTCTTAACAACATAAATTACCACCACTTAACACATTATTAAAAAAGTATTATAAAAAGAAATTTACTAAATTATGTCCTTGACTTTTGAGAGAACAGAGAGTATAAATTTACAGCATTAGACTGACAGCCACAGAAACCCAGAGGCTGTAGAAATCCTCAAAACAAATGACTTCCCAGCCAGATGTAGTGGGAGCTTTTTCAAACCAACTGTGAAACACATCTCATCCCTTACCCAGAAGCAACCTTACTCCTGAGCCATACCACTTGGTACTGACCTCCCCTAAAATGCTGGCAGTGGGTGGCACAGGAGCCTCCTGGAAATGTTGGGGCAGCTGCAATGGCCACAAAACATGTCACCAGGCATCCTTCCCAAGAGTAGCTAAGTGACAATAACTTTGTCACTACTGGTGACAGCACTATGCAGTGGTACTCAGAAGACCTGAAAAACTGCAAACTGATTTGCAGTCTTTCAAAAGAGCCGAAAACCTTTAAATAAAAAACAAGGAAAAGAATACCCCCCCCCCCCCCCCAAAAAAAAAAAACAAAACAACAAAACCAAACAAAAACAACAAAAACCCAAAACCAAACCAAAACCTTAGAGGGAAAAAAAGAGTTGGCTGTTGCAGGTATGATGAAAAAATAACAGCTTCTTCTAACCTTTATAAGGTCCATATAAGTAGCTCATCCATGTGGAAAGCTTACTTTTGCCAGCTGCCTGATCATTTAGCTCAGGTTGGGAAACTAGTAGCAGTTTCTAGGCTTCATTTATCAGCTGTCTCCTTCAAGCCATTCAAACAGCAAGGGCTGTAGCAAAGGCTAACAGAAAGAAAGACGAATTTTATTAAAGAATGATCCATAAGTACTGTATTTTAAGCAATAACACCTATGATGATGAACTTCCCTAACATATACTCATGTGTGAGCCACCAAAGCCAGATTTTGGTACTTGTGCTTGGGTTCCTGTTGCCTCAACTGTGGCATATTCACATAAAACTCCTTTAGTGTGGTACAACCTGGAGTCAATGTAAAGTTAATAAATCCAATGAAAACTCTATGGTAAGCAAGTTCAGAGTAAGATTTTGAAGTTTTTACATGACAGTTGCTTGCCTCAATGGAGGGCAGCACTTTGTCCTGATCTGGCACTTCAGATGACTCTGCCCTCTCTGCTACTACAAAGGATTTGTCATATTTTTATTTATCTTATGGACATGAGTAACTGGTGACTTGGATGGCTGTTAGTTTTACAACATCATGATGCATATCAAACAATACTAAGGTCTTTATTTTGCCTTTTTAAGTGCTTGTTTACAATTTATTTGAAAAGTTAAAAACAACTCAGTAAAGTAATGGGCTGAGTAAAAGAGGAAAACACCAATCATTCTGAGAGAGGAGGGCAGCATCAGATTATTGAAAATATTGGCCATAGACAATGGAAGCAAAAAAACCAGCATAATTTCTTGCATTGTGAAATCATCTGTTTTGACTTTCATATTATTAAATCCTTCTTGTAGACAAACCAACACTTATGGACTTAGTCATTCCGTAAGCTAATCAGCACCTAATATCTTTTTTATCTGACTTTGAATGATATCCTAACAACTTAATATCAGCTCATACTGAAAGCCAGATTAGCAGTGACAGGTGACAATAGCAATGATTTCTAGTGTGTGTGGGACCATTACTATGCTGTTAAAATATAAAAGGAAAATATTACCTCCTACAACTCTTGCTTTTGAATTTGAGGAAAAGCCCATGCAAAGATGTTTTCTATGGAATCCAGTTTCATCTCCCTTCCCTCATTTACAGTCTGCACCTGGATCAAATGAATGAAATATTTTTGACTTCCCCAGCACATGGCCTAAATCAGCATTCCATTACTATCACAAATCAATGTATTCTGAACCTTAAATATGCACAAACAGTGGTTTTCTGATCAGGAAGATACAATACTCACAGTAGTTTGAACAACCTCAAATGTAACAAAGGAAAGGCTTGGCACAGCCACCTAATGTAAAATATAAATTTTTCCTCTAAAGGGGCCTCAATTTGACTGTTAATTTTAAACCTGTCTTATTAGTTTTGAGGAAATAATGCATGTATTTCAGAATTTTATTCTGCATTTTGAAGAAGGTCTCCAGGCATACAGATGAACGTTGTTATGGAATTTACACTGGTACTATTTTGCTGACCGTAAAATCTCATTGTCCCTTCCTCAGATATTGGTGACAAATGGGTCCTGATGACACTGGTACCAACAAAACTCAGTAAAGGAAACCACTTTGGCTTTTACCTAAAGTACTTTGCATCATGCAGCCATAATAATAGAAAAAACAGCACCAAGATATTTAGATGTAAGTTTTAAACGTACTTACTTTGCAGAAGTAACTAAGAATGGCTATTCCTTATTTTATAGCTGATGAAAACCACGCAGAGAGTCACTGTGTGACATATCCAGAAATACAACTTGTGACTTACTCATGGGGCCGATTCAGGATTCTCTACATTTTGATGCTGTTTACCAGATTGTGGTGTTACCTATATGCTTTATATTACACAGATATTGTCAATTAAAGTATAATTATATTTTTGATCTCTATTTCCTCTATGTGTATGCTGTATCTCAAGTCATTATCACACTCATTAAAACACAGCAGTTCTGTATCCCATATCAGCACTTAAATGAAGTATGGGGATATATAACAATACAATTAACAGAAGTATTCCCAGTGAATGAGGCCTTGAAAAACAAAATTAACAACGTGAAGCCTTGATGGGAATGATCCTGCACTTGAGGCCTGCACAACAACCACTAGGGCTTTGCATCATGTTTTTTTAAAGAGAACATTACAAGTCTGATAGAAGAAGAAAGAGAGAGAAACTACAGTTTTGAAGCTTCATTTTTATTCAAGATGTAGCAGCACAAGGACATCCAGAGGCAGCCTAGAAAACACAAGTTACAGTCAAAAATGAAGCCTGATTTAGTAACTGAATCCATTTATTCTTTCCAAGGTTCTGCATAGCACCTGACATGAGGGCCTTTCTCCTGACTCATGTCTTTCAGAACTTTAGTGATAAAAATAGCAAGTCTCTCTGAACAAAGGAGAGCCCCAAAAGACAAAACAAACCATAAGAAACAGTAAGTTTGCATCTTATATTAGAACTTGCATACTTTCTACTCTTGCAGCAAATGCCTCTGCGTATTTATTTACCTTGGACAAGATGAAAGGTCACTCATTATGTGCATAATAAGCTAATCTCAATTGTAATTATACTGCAGAAAAAACCCCACTTTCATTTGAAGGTTAACTAGATTCAAAATAACCCAGTTCTCATCAGGGTGTTGCATTTATTTCAATTAAGTCAATCAACTTAACAAGGATTTAATTAAAAACAAGTTAGCAAGTCAGAAGAAGTATTTGAAATGCAATTAATAAATATTTTAAATAAGCCCGACATAGTTAAATCAAATATATTATTCTAAGTGCACTAGATTATGACTTCTTTGCTGATGCTCACTTTTGGTCAACAACAAAAAGCATCCCTCGGAATCCTGGCATCAGCTCATCCTTGCAAAGGGACATGAACACAATATCCAGGAGGTGTAATAGTGAACTTTCAAAAATTGGTTAGAGAGATGAATACCTATTTCTCATGAGAGGGAAAACCTAAGGTTTGCCCACACTTTGTTTGCTTTGTTTTAACTGTTGTTCTTCATACAAAATAACTTTTCAAGGCAGTTAAACAAAAAATAAAGTGCCTTTTCACTGAATCTACATGTTTCCATGTAGCTTCTTTCCTCTGCAAGCATTCTGCAAGATGTGGGAGAGAGGAGCAAAGCACTAACAAACAAAACCAGAGAACAATCGATATGAAGAGGTTAGTGCTCCCAAAAAGCATAAGTAATTTACATCAGACAGGTTCCTATTCTGTGTCTTTCCACTGTCTTTTGGACAACTACACATCTCATCCCTGGATTTGCAGTCTAAGAACAACAGTGCTTTGGCCTCTGCTGCCCAAGGCATCCTGACTCAGTCTTTCCAGGGATCTCTATCCTATACAATTCTATTATATTCTTCTCCCTGTGTCTGACATTCCTGGGGAAGAATAAAAGAAAGAAGCAGCACTCCTCACCCTTAACTCCCCAACAACCCACAAGCAAGACTCCTGTTTCCCTTAAGTCATCCTTAAAAATCCTCTATTCTGTTGTCACCAGCAAAGACCAATGTAATATAATAACATACAAGATATAACCATATTCCAAATAAATATACATGGAAATTAAGGACATATATATACCCAAATGAAAGTTTTTGTCTACCTCATTTTTTTCAGCTGACTGAGCACATTTTCTTTCATGTTCATGACACATTGAGAACAGAAGAACAAAGGCTAAGACAAGAATGATCAAAAATGTCAGCTCCATTTGGGCAACAAAACTTGAGAAGGCTATGCCTAATTTTTCAGATTACTTGATGTTTTATTGCACTTTTCACCTTCAGACCACAGCTTCTATTAAACTGGCCTCAGCTACACATATAAATGTTCCCAACTTAAGTTAATCAAGCTGCAGTTCTTATTAAAAAGTCTGCAGAAAATAAGCAACCCTGAGTGAGGAATTATGCTTGAGAATCTTTACGTCTACATAATTTTTCCAGCACCATAAAGGAATTCTGGGCCCTAGGTAAAGCAGGAACCAAATAAACCATGTTACAAACCCAATCCTCTTGGAGTCCTCTACTTTACTACAAGTTGCCACCTACAGTAAATCCAGCTCTGAGCCAGCAAAGGTTCTGTGGAAATTAGGGAGAAGAGCCTCTCTAAGCATATAATTAACCAGATGCATCATAATGTGTATGTACAAAGGTCCTAAATTAATCCCATATGATTCAACTACATGCTCAGCGTTCCTAATTTGCAAGTGCTTGACTTTATGGGATTCACAATTCCTTGCCAGAAAGGAAAGGTTATTGGCTTGAATAATGAGTCCAAGTCTAGAGAAGGACATTGAACATGCCATCTGCAGCCCTGCTCTTACCAGCATCCAGTTTTGTAAGGTTTTTTCCTAACACTCTACTGCCTTCCCACCTTATGCACCCATGCCCCTAACTCTAATCTGCCCAGTTCCATCCATTTTTTTTCACCAGGATCTTTCAACTTAATAAATTTCTTTAGAAATCCTGGATGGGAAGTGTTTTTCAAGAGCTCTCAAATGTACAGATGACTCACTTCAAGCAAGTGATGTGCAACAGAGAAAGAACAGGATTCTTTAATGATAATCATCTTACATCATGTAGGTGACAACCTGCAAGAGAGCCAGACATCTCTACAATATCTCTGTAATATCACCAAATGGTCTTTTATCCCTATTCATCCAGATTACTTTGCAACCAAGTTGTTGTAAATTGGCAACCACAACTTACGCTTTAACCTTCTTATTTCAACTTCACTGAGGCTACTCAAAGTAGTTTGAGAAATACTACATTAATATCCAAAAAACGACATGTATCTGCTAAAAAAAACCCCCCAATCTATGTCTGGGGAATCTCTAGACTGCAAAACAGAAAAAGTTTTGTGATGGCTCATACCAAGTTTTGTGATGCACCCAAACCGTTATTATATAATGCAGATAATTTTTCAAGGACTTAGGGAGCATACTTCCAGAAAAATGCATATTAGTATCAATTGCCTCCTGAAAATGGTGATTCTTGGAATGTTTTTCAAGAGCTCTCAAATGTACAGATGACTCACTTCAAGCAAGTGATGTGCAACAGAGAAAGAACAGGATTCTTTAATGATAATCATCTTACATCATGTAGGTGACAACCTGCAAGAGAGCCAGACATCTCTACAATATCTCTGTAATATCACCAAATGGTCTTTTATCCCTATTCATCCAGATTACTTTGCAACCAAGTTGTTGTAAATTGGCAACCACAACTTACGCTTTAACCTTCTTATTTCAACTTCACTGAGGCTACTCAAAGTAGTTTGAGAAATACTACACTAATATCCAAAAAACTACACGTATCTGCTAAAAAAAACCCCCAATCTATGTCTGGGGAATCTCTAGACTGCAAAACAGAAAAAGTTTTGTGATGGCTCATACCAAGTTTTGTGATGCACCCAAACCGTTATTATATAATGCAGATAATTTTTCAAGGACTTAGGGAGCATACTTCCAGAAAAATGCATATTAGTATCAATTGCCTCCTGAAAATGGTGATTCTTGGAAAAAAACGTTTTTCTGTTTTTTCAGCTGGATATCTCTGATCTATCCATAAGTATCATGCCCTGGAAACTTGGGAGTTTATCACAGACAAGGAGGAAAACAACTGTGCATGCTCCTGGTCAAAAATACAAGCAAATGAAGTATTGATGTCTCCACATTCACCTGGTCACTTTGGTTCCTCTATTCCCCCTTCTGCCCCATATCAGAACAAAACAATTAAAACCAAATGAAGGATCCCATATGATTGTGCTACACAGAGTGAATTCTGCTATTCCTGAGAAGAATAACAGAACACTGAAAGCCTTCTGTTCCCTCCCCAAACTTAATCATCTGGATAGAGCTGGTATTTCTGTTTGATTTCTTCCATGCCTTGTAGCAGAAAGGAACATATTGCCCTGAATAAGACAGACACTAAGCAATCAAAGATGTTTGGATGCAGTACAGAATGTGATTATTTTCCCCTTTACCTCTTTGGCTCAATTTATTGCTGCCCACTCTATTTTGCTTTATGAAGCAGTACTGGAGAAAAAAAAGCCTCATTCTTTAGCTGAGATAGTATGTG